GTCATTGTTGTTTGGCGGGTCTGGGCTGGGGATTTGAACCCGCCACCTTAGGTGTACGTGGCTGGCGCCTTAGCTGGTTGAGCTATAGGCGCCGAGCCCATGCCTTCTCTTTAAAGGCACTGTGCACTTAAAATGAACAATGGTGCAATGGGGCTGGTCCTGTAGGCCTCTGTGGAGAGAGGATCTTTCTCATAGGGAAGATATCTCCATATTTAAATAGCACTTCATAGTTTCTAGAACTCTTTCCTCTGTTGTGACATTCATCTGAACATGAAGACCCTGTGAGGCAGGTAGCAAAGCACATTTGTACATACAGGCTTCAGAGCCAAGTGATACCAGGACAAAGCCCAGCTCTGCCACCCACTAGCTCCCTGATCCTGGGCAAATGCTTCCCCTGGCTGAGGGTCAATGTTTCAGCTATAAAGCAGGGACAGTAGTGGTGCCTTTGTCCTTTGTGCCAGTACACGTAGTACTTGGCGTCGTCCCCTGACTAATAAGGAAAGGAATGTCTATTACTAGCAGGAGGGTAGGTACTGTTGCCCCATTTGACAGTTCAGGAATCAAGGCCCTAAGAGTTCTCATTATTGGTAAGAGGTTGAGGACTGTGCAGACACTAGCCTACTGGCTCCCTATATATCTCCATTTCCTGTTTGGGACCAGGATCCTTCTTCGCAGGACTCCTAAGAAGCCCATGACCCAGTGACCTCACCTCAGACTATGACTCAAGCACCTGTGGCATACCTTCACAAGCTGTGCTGGGTCCCATTTTTCTGGCTGGGCTGAGTGAGAGCTTATAGCCACAGTCCTATTCAGACTATACCCCCAAGGATGAGACCAGGTCCAGAGGCCCAAGTCAGCCATGCTGATGTGGTCCAAGCTTCTATGTAAACCCAGGCCCTTCCATGAGATGGCACTGCCCTTTCTTTTCCTCTAGCCCGAAGATCCCAAAAGCTTTTGCCAGGCACTCAGAGCACTGGTCCCCACCCAGGGCCTCAGAGATGCTGAAATCTTACAACTCCTAGACCAGTGGAGTGTTCTCTTTAACCATCTCCCTTACATATCACATGCCATTTTCTTTTTTTTTTTTTCTTTTTTTTTTTTCCCAGAGAGGCAAAGTCTTGTTCTGTCACACATGCTGGAGTGCACTAGTATGATCAAAGCTTACTTCCACCTCAAAATCTTGAGCTCCTGCCTCAGCCACCTCAGTAGCTATGACTACAGGTGCATGTCACCATGCCTGGCTAATTTTTCAAATTTTTTATAGAGATAGGGTCTCAACTATATTGCCCAGGCTGGTCTCAAACTCCTGGCCTCAAGCAATCCTCCCACTTTTTGGTCTCCCAAAGTGCTGTGATTATAGGTGTGAGCCACTGTGCCTGGTCATGTTCTTATCAACCTATCAGTAAGGTTGGATGCTACTTGCACACCTCTGGTGATGGGGTGCTCACTGCTTTTCTCAATAGTACAGGTTATAAAAATAATGATGAACAATGACAGCTAACTTTTCTTTTTTGAGATAGTCTCACTCTGTTGCCCAGGCTAGAGTCCTGTGGTGGCATCAGCCTAGCTCACAGCAACCTCAGTCTCTTGGGCTCAAGCGATGAATCCTCTTGTCTCAGCCTCTTGAGTAGCTGGGAATACAGGCACCCACTAGAATGCCTGGCTAGATTTTCTTTTTTTTTTTTTTTTTTGGTAGAGACACGATCTCTCACTCTTGCTCAAGCTGGTCTCAAATTCCTGAGCTCAAACAGTCCACCTGCTTTGGCCTCCCAGAGTGCTAAGAGATTACAGGTATAAGCCACTGCGCCCGGCCAACATCTAACAACTGCATACCGGGTACAGCGCTAAGCCCTATTATTTGCACTATTTTGTTTAATCTCCACAATAAACCTATGTGGGAAATCCCTTTCGTTTTTTTTGAGATAGAGACTCACTTTGTCACCCTCGACAAAGTGCTATGGCATCATAGCTCACAACAACCTCAAACTCTTGGGCTCAAGTGATCCTCTTCCTCAGCCTCCCAAGCAGCTGGAACTATAGGCGCACACCCCAACACCCAGCTATTTTTAGAGGCAGGGTCTCGCTCTTGCTGAGTTTGGTCTTAGACCTGTGAGCTCAGGCAATCCACCTGCCTCAACCTCCCAGAATGCTAGAATTATAGGCGTGAACCAGCGCACCCAGCCTGGGAAATCCTTTTTTTATTCCCATTTTCTGTCTCAGAAAAATCATGTGACCTGTCCCAATGTCACATGGCTGGTAACAAGTGGACATACCTGGTATCAGGACATCTACCCTCTGACCTGCTTCCTGGTACTGCCCCAGCACTCCCTTTTGCAGGGCTTGGGCACTGCCCTCTGGCACCTTTTATGAGGCTGCTTCCCTTTCTGAGGGATCTAAACAGCTGGGAGAGGGGGGCTGCTTTGCCTTTCCCTGCGGGGGTGGACTAACATAATTAAAATGAACATCATGCTTAAACTGAACCGTTTAATTGGTACGTTAGTCCTCAAGATTCTACAGTCCCTATTTAAAAAGCAAAAGGAAAAAAAATCAGCAGTTTGTACATTCCCCCAGGAGAATTCAGGGAAGATAGGCACAGCCTGAGGAAGATGCAGCCTCCTCCTAACTGGGGGATTTTTAGCTCCTTAATCCCCAGCTCGCTAATTATGTTTATTATCATTATTATGCATTTATTGAGCATTTCTCTATTGACAAGTTTTGCTGTTTTTATTATTAGCCCATCAGTAGGGGAAAGAGATGGATGCCAGGATGGTGGGCAGAGCCCCAGGCTGAGAGGCAGGATGGAGCTGGTGGTTCCATGCCTCAGCCTCCTCACTGTGTCAGAGCCCTGTTGTGCAGAGCATTAACTGCAGGATAGGGTCTGCACTGGATCCTGGGGTGGGTACCAAACTAAAAAGAAATTGATCAGCGTGCAGGTAATGCACACATTAACTAGCTTAATTTAGCTGTAACACAGTGTATGCATACATCAAAATGTGTTGTATACCATAAATATTTACAATTTTTACTTGTCAATTAAAATTAATTTCTTTTGGGCAGTGCTTGTGGCTCAGTGAGTAGGGCACCAGCCTCAAATACCAAGGGTGGCAAATTCAAACCTGGCCCCAGCCAAACTGCAACAACAACAACAAAAAAGCTGGGCATTGTGGCGGTCGCCTATAGTCCCAGCTACTCAGGTGACTAAGGCAAGAGAATCACCTAAACCCAAGAGCTGGAGGTTGCTGTGAGCTGTGAC